AAAGCAAATTAAAATTGTTGTTGTTTTGGACGGAAGTTATAAAGACTTTGTGTCAATGGATGCTCTCATTGATAAACAACGAGACGACAGAATTGATAAAATTCCTTATTTTAATATCAATCCAAAAAAGGATATATTTATAATCGGTTACACCTCTGGAACCACTGGCGTACCGAAGGGTGCAATGGTTTCTCACTATAGCTTTGTCGCCGTTTTAGAGGACGTAAACTGTCAGAAACCGAATCCAATGACTTCAGCCAATATATACCCTTTCGGGCATATGAGCGGTTCGGCTACACTTGCCGTTAGTCTGATTTGTGGCAACGCTATGGTCTTATACGAAGACATTACTGCCATTGATATCTTGAAGTCAATTGAAAAATATCGTATCAATTCTGTGCCAATGTTTCCCTATTTCGCTAAATTATTACTCGACGACAATCTCACCAAAGGGTATGATTTATCGAGCGTTATGTTTATGAATGGCAGTGGAGTTAAATTTCCGCCCGAATTAATCAGACAGTTGTTCATCAAATTTAAAGTCCCTTTCTTTGAATGTAATGAACAAATCATCATTTGTTTCATTAAATACAATAATTAAAATATTTTCATTAATAGTCTACGGATTGAGTGAATATATGACACCAGTTTCTGGCGGAACCAATGGGTCCGTGGGATCGGTTCACAACAACACTGAATTAAAGATTATTGATTTAATTAGTGGTCAAAGTCTCGGTCCAAATATCACGGGTGAGATATGCCTTCGAGGTATTAAAATGTTTTCCGGGTATCTGAACAATGAGGTACAGACCAAAGCAGTGATCGATAGGAAGGGTTGGTTACATACGGGAGATATAGGATACTATGACGACAACGAGAAGATGTATATAACCGATCGGATCAAAGAGTTGATTAAATACAAGCACTGGTCGGTAGCGCCGGCGGAAGTGGAGGCTCTGCTAATGACACACGAGTCGGTCGCTGAGACTGTTGTGGTCGGAGTGAGACATGAAACGGATGGACAGCACCCGAGGGCTTATGTCAAAGCAAAGACTGACAGACATATCTCTGGCCAGGAATTGATTGATTTTGTTGAAGGTTTTTATTGTGTGAAACGATTGTTTAAAATATTCATTAATTATAAAAATGATTTGTAGGGAAGAGTGCTCTTCAAAACCGACTTCGAGCCGGAGTTGTATTTGTCGATGAAATACCCAGGACAGTTCTTGGAAAAGTGGACAGGGTCTATTTTAATAATTTGATCAAGGATCAAATACTGTACTAAAAGTTTGAACGAAATTTTCAGTAACATTAAAGTCAAATCAAATGATTATAATATTCTTAAAAATTCAAAATAAATATTAAAACAATAATTTCTTTAATAAATTATTGGTGATTAAAAAATTAGAGATTTTAATTTTCATTCATTCATAATATTAAAATGAATCTAATTTTTAAAAGTATGTTTCAATTATCAGAAACAGCCTCTGAATATAATCATTAGATAATCAGACAATCAGATCATCAAATAATCAACACAACTAACGTATTACTTAAGTAAGGCTTTCACTTCTCTTATATACCTCACTAACGTTTATGAAATACGAGCTGACAGTTTGTAATCTTGTTATATTGTAAATAATTAGTAAATCTTAAGATAACTCTGAAATTAATTCATAATACTCACGAAGAAAATGGTACATTTAATTTAAATAGAAAATTATTGGACAAATAGTGGGCGGAGTGGAGATAATTGTGTATTAATTGGCGCTATTATGCATTTGAATGATAACTGCAATTGATAATAGTTGTCTGACAACATGTTTGATTTGATTATTTGGAAATTTAATACGAACAAAACAAAATACATAAAAATTTAATTTAATTAACATTTTTAATATCACTTTTCTTTGATGTCGTGGTTCTTGGGTTTCTTGAAATTGGTTTAGGTTTAGATTTAATGAACCAAAAGTACGATATAATAGAAACTCCTATTATTACCGCAACAATAATGATAAGAATGAACAAAATGTACAACAAATTTGTTGTAGTCTTGTTTGAGACTTCATTTGGTCCGACAGTGGCTTTAATAGTTGTTTTCCCACTATTGCCGGGAAGAGATGGTTGGGTTGGGTTCAGGATATCGGCGTTTGTGAACGCAATGTTTGTCTTACATCCTAGAAGTCCTTTAACACTCATATTCTGGTCAAAATATAATATTGACTTAAAATACAATATTTTATAAATTATTATTAGTATTAATATTAACTAATGGATTAAATTCTCGGCTTCTGTTTTGAGGCCCAAACACTCGGTATGAGTATAACTGATATTCTCCAGTCCTAACCGCGTATACATTGTTATTATTCTGAATGATACCAATGGTTTGATCCAATCGTAGATTGTATTCTTGCCATCGATACAAGTCATACCATTTGTAATTTTCAAGCGATGCGGTCTTCAGAATAAGATTATCACCAGATTTTACAATCAAAGCCTATTTAAAAACAATTGTCATTACAATTGAAATATTGATACATATTTATGTAGTTTAATAAATTCAAAAATACCAATTCATAAGACTCTCGGATATAAGTTATTGCAACCAACACTTCCTGACGACTAGTGATTGGCCAAAATGTCTTTGTATTTAATTGACCGGTTGTGGGCCACGAGAATGGCATCTCATTATTGTCTTTAATTAACTCAAAAGTATTCATTTTGTGTCTTAATGTCTGATAGATTTGATTTCCATTTGAGTCAAACCCTATAATAACTATCATATCTTGAAATTTAACTAAATCTCTACAATAATTGATTTCATTGACACAATGGGGGATGCCTTCAAACATAAAGTTATTGTTTTTACAATCCATCAAATTGTGCGAACATTCGTAGACTTTAGTGAATTGAAAGCCAAGAATTGGAGACTTGACTTTGAATTGAAATTTAAAGTTTTATAAAACACTTATTACACAATTAATACTACCATTAAAATTGGTTTGTTTAACAATCCNTTTATAAAACACTTATTACACAATTAATACTACCATTAAAATTGGTTTGTTTAACAATCCCTTTAAAATCGTTATCATTTAATACATTTCCATTTGATTTATATTTCCAAAATATATCGCTATTATTGTCCAACAAATAAATATCTCTATCGATATTAAAGGCAGAGATCAATGTATTTGTTTCACAGAAGTTTACATTTTGGCCCTCAATTAAAGTGATGACAGAAAGTATTGTAATCGATATAAACATTTTAAAGTGCATTTTGGTATAAGACTTGAATATTGAACTGACATTTATTTATTAATGCCAACAATAGTTATGGATAATTAAATAAATCATAATTAATTACTTATTTCTAAAATATTCCCAAAAATCTAGTAATACGTTAAGAATTAGAAGTTAAATATACTGTTGAATAAAATAGATATTCATTTCAACTATAATTTTCTCAATTGTATGGAAATAAAGTGTTTTTATTTAATGGTTTCTTAAACATTTATTAGACTCAATATGAATCAATTTTAGTCTTAAATGCATGTTTCAGTCATAATAACAATTACAATAAATGTGGACATATTTTCATCAAAATATGGTTTGCTTTGAGTAAAACAAGTACAGTATTGATATTTAGGCATTTCATAGCTAATGAACATTAGGTTTTATATTTGATAATTAGTAGAATTTGATCATTAGTTTGCGATAAAAAACATCTCATAAACAAGAAATCAAACAAAAAATAGTATTCAAAATCAAAATAGTTTTTAATGCAATCTTTGAAACAATTTAGAAATCAATAGAAATGACATTCAATGAAAACTTGAAAACTCTTGTGGTTTGT